TTTGATATCTAAAAACTTTCTTATAGTTTTAGTAAATACTCTGATTTGATTTGAAAGTATAACTAAATGATATAAAATAATTATATAATTTCACTAGCATAAAACGCATCAACCACCTTATGATAAGTGACTTTTATTCTGAGAAATGAAGTAGTTGACTTATATTATCAGTGATTTATACTCAGTCTTCAATCCTTAGAAGCATAAATTGACTTCCATACTTATAATAAAATAGCATGCTTTTATTCTTGTCGAAAGTTTTCAGTCTTAAAATTACTCATCCATCTTTTATTTTAAAAGACATAAAATATTATTCGTTTTAGTTATTCATATCTAACATTTCAAAGCTTATAAGACAAAACTCAAAATGAAATGGTTTGTTAAACCGAAGGAAGTAACTTAAATAAATGTAAGTATAGACTAGTTACAATGCAAAATAAATCATATCCCTAAATTCCACACATTCCATCCTTTGCCGCTAAATAAAACACCTAATCCGTAAATATAAAAAACATCTTTTTATATCCAAATCTTATTTTATTTGCTTTTCATCATGCAATAATGAATAAAAACGAAACATGGTCATATTGTGGTCCGTGCTACTTAAATTGATATAAGTAGTATATGACGCGAGTCAGGAGTGTAATGTCTGGCAGCAGAAGATGGGGAAGATCAAGAAAGGAAGAGCGAGAATAGAAAGCAATTTGTATGAAAATGCAAGAACAATGAAGTCTAAGTCATTTTGAGACAATTGATGGACATTTTGCGAATTAAGCATTTCCTTTATGATTGTTAGATTTTATTAACAAGTCCTGTAATTTTGTGTGAAATACATTCGATTGTCCCCACTGGTGTTCTTGTTCACTACAATATGTGAAGTATAAGTCTGATTTGATACTTGTCGTCTAAACAATATTAAAGTGATATCTAATACTTAGAAGTCATTTCATTTACAATCGTTATATTGAATTAACTTTAATCTCTACCAAAAAAATATTCCCAAATAATCCACATATTAATCAGTAAATTTGGTATCTTTTGCTTTCGAATACTACCAATGTCCACACTTGATAAACATCTCTCAAATATATTTTTTTCTAAAAAGAATGTACTAGTGTTGTTTTTTCATTAAACTCGGTTTAATTCTGTTCATGGAAACAATTTTTTTAAATAGTTAAACTAAAATAATGAATCGATCCTTAAAATAAAGTCTGAATACGTTTTACATAAGGTTTGCGTTTTCTTACTTATTTGGGAAAAAAAAGAAAAAGAATTTTACTTTATGTCCAAAAGAAAAAAACGGATAGAAACTAAATATTTTTTAAATTTTTACTGCGTAAAATATTGTGTATTTATTAGCATTACAAAATCCCCATAATCACGCTTCTTTATTTTCTTTAGGGGGTTATAATGGTTAGTCTATCATTCTATTTAATGCATGGATATAAAATGTAATAATAAATTGTTTTATTGATTTAAACAAATGAATAATGTGTATGTAGTTCATTTACACACATCATTATGACGAAAACTATTTTCATATCTAAAAAAAGAAAAATTACTGCTCATTTAAAAAATTATGTATTGGATAACCTTACAAACAAGGAAATTTATTTTTGTAATCAACGATGGATAGTGGCTAGCAGTGGAATCCAGGACGCGCGTTTCATTCTATCCATCATTGCTTACAAAAAGCTTGTAAATTAAGGCAACATCGAGGCATATGCACAGTATGCACATATGCCAATAACAGACTGATCAATTGCAGTCTTAAACCTCAAAAGGAAGATACAAGCCAAACTATACCAAGTAAATGTATATTTGACTATATATATGTTAAAGAATATATATGAATCAAGACTGTTCAACTGAGAAACATTTGTATATGTTTATAAACGTCAGACAACATATCATACAGTAGATACATGAATTACAGTTGTTGTTCCATCAACTTATATCTTATACAAAGTTTATTTATGTTTTATAAAATTATAACTATCAAGGAACTTACTAATCAATTTCTTATACAAATTGAATATATCAAAACTATTTAAAAATATACTGATCTATAAATGTATTTGAAGAGAAATGCAGTGTAATGTTAACAATCAGGGACGTAGGGATGTTTTGAGTTCCTGATATGTTGAAATTCAGACTATGGTACTATAAGTTGTTACTAATAAATAACATCAGGGTTGATTTTTTAAAGATTTTTAGAAGCTTAGTATTAGTAATATTTGTAAACAAAATCAATCCTAAGTTTGGTGTTTTGTGAGAATAACAGAAAATTATTCGAATACATGAAAATACACTCGTAATGTCTATAAGTGTCTTTTTTTTCATTATTTTGAATGATCATCTGAACTATAAGATTGCTTAGGTATTATTATAGACAACATTTTCATAATAGAGTCTGAAGTCAAAATGTAAGGTATTCATCATGTATAATTCAAAGTGTAGTTAACTGTAAATGTTAATTTAGAAAATATCATGACTATTATCTTATAATTAATACAAAGGATATGTTTTTGTAAATAACTTTCACTAACTTGAAGATTAAGACCAAATCATGTTGAATTTATATTAAATCATAGTTGCGTTATTTACTATTCTTGGTTGTAAGTACAAAAGTATCTTGGTACGCGAAATTTATTATTTAATTGAAATCATCTTACAACTGGTGACAGTTGACAAAAAATATTTCACTACAAAAATCCTCTGCTAGTATAATTTCTATTCATAATTTTTATTATTTCCTTTTAATTAAGATTTTTTAAATGTAAATGTAGGTAAATGATAAAATGAGGAAGTATTTTTTAAGCATAGCTTGTATAAAACGAGATGAAGTATACATTGACCAGACGCCTATAAAATATTGACAATCAAATGTTGATTAAGACAGAGTTTTCTATCTTGTCCTGATCTATTTAAGCAATACCACTAATAACTTTTTTTCTATGAATATAATGAAAAGGATGAATGGCAACTGGAAAGAACTGGAAAAGTTTGCCCAGGACAGAGTTAGATGGAGAGTGCGAACTTAAGCTTGCCTGATTCATATATATATATATATATATATATATATATATATATATATATATGGATCTTCTCATTGATGTTTAAGGCCGTAATTGATCAGCAGCTACATCCAGCTGACAAGTCCCAAATATGAGAGAACGTGAGTACTGGATACCACTACTAGCCACTACCCATAAGCTCACCAAGTTACATTTGAATGCTTTCTTCGTTTAAATCTGAGATATGTGGCAAAAAACGCTTTGCATCTCCCTTTTATACCATGTAGGTACTCAAATGGTGAAATGTAATTGCAAAACTTAAGAAATGAAAGTATTATTTCTCATACTTAAGCAAAAATAATAACTGAGATACTGTAGAACAACTAATCGGTGTTTGATAAAATCTTCACATATATATATCGTATTCATTACCTATCACTTTACTCCCTGAATGTATCATTTATTAGATATTTGATTAGACGGCTTTTATTATATTCACTGAACAAACAGTATTCTAAAGTTTGTTCTATAATTTGTATAACTTTAGTAAAAAACAAAAAATTCTGCCCATTATCAATTTGGTTTATTTTCATCTTATATAGCATCAGGTATGAGTTATTTTAACAATATTCAAGAATTTAAATTTGATATCTCAAAATTATTTATTAAGCAAACATGCTTAATTTAAATCTCTTTCGCAAAAGATACCGTGATTGTATTACTTGCGGTGATAGATAAATTGACGTTCGTACATTTGAAACAGTTGAATTCTCAATCAATTACATGAAAACTAAATATTTATTACAATCTAACGTTCACTGGAACATTTTTAGTATCTGTTACTATTTATACATAATCACACATATAAAAGTGCGTTAATAACCTACTATTTATAGTCTTTGCATTCGTATATGTGTATATAAGTCATTTATATCTATTTGCTTATGACAAGTAATAAATATTATATATGAAAGTTCAAGCTAATTTTATATTTAATCCTTTATTATGTAAGAGTTTTTCTTATATCATAACGTTATATTAACCATAAAAAGAATGAAAACATCAATTCCGCTATGAAAATTAAAAATAAGATAATTCGTCTACCTTTTTCTAGAACAACATACATAAGCGAACAATATTGTTTTCGATTAGATCTTCATCAGGCTTTACTCTAATATACAGTAATATTTATATGCATATATGAAATTACTAAACCAATCAAGGTAGTTTATGAGTCTATGATAACAATGAAAAGGATTACATAATAAGTGAAAAGTACAAATTGATAGTATGATGACCGGTGTACTAGTTTTGATAAGAATAATAAAGGCTTAAATCAATGTTACATAATCGGAAATAGGTCAATGATTAGAAAAATATAGACAGTGAAATAACATTTATAAAGTTATAGGATTACGTAGTAAGAAGTGTTCAGATAATTGGACCGTGAAACGTATATTTGAGAGAAAATAAAAAAAAATGGTAGAAGGAGGTGAAGAAAAAATAATAATAAACGAAAAGAAAGTATGGAAAATAATAAATAAATTCATTTATTAAGGCCAAGGGAGAGATAAGGGTGTTACAAATTTCTTATGAACATAAAGACTTGGATTGTTGGCTCGAATTCCTATAGCTTCTGCTATGTGTAAGAGACGAGATCGAACACTATAAGGAAAACTAGTAGAAATACGATAAATAACTGTAAACGACTTATTGCTGTCCACTACATGACCGCTATCGATCGAGTATGGTAGAACCGAGCTGCGTATTGTCTTGACAACAGTGTCGGTTAATTATTATTTTTTAGATAAAATTAGTTTTCAATCGAATATCTTTCAATTCAGTAACCCCAGATAAATTTAGTAATACAAAAAGAAAAGAAAATAGCCAAATGATTACATAACTGGGAATATGCCAGTGTATATATCTTTTCAATGTCCAAGAATTATTTACGCATAACAAAATCCAAATAAGACAACTTACTTAATAGTGTTGTTATTGTAAATGTATTGAATGGACAATTATTTATATATAAATAATTCATTTATTCTTTATTTGTTTAATTTAAATAATTCTACAATACAATTTGATTTCCAAATAATATTTTTTTAAATAATAACATCATTATTACTTAAATAAATTAATGATGTAACATAATTAGAAAATAGTTTAATAGAATGAATATCTTTAATACAAACTTCAATTTGGTTAGTTTATATTCTGTAGATGATAGATATGATAGAATTATTGACCAATCAAAGAATTTATTTTATTTTACATCTCATAGTGATAAAGCACCAATCAGTTTTGAGATATATTTCTTTCAAAAAAAAAACAGAACTAATGATAGCTACTTTAAAACAGACAAATTAGAATAGATAGACAAGTTGTAATGTGAAAGTCATCTTGTGTTAAAACATAATGAATGTAATGTATGAAGTTATTTCGATAATAATATTATGACTAAGTACTCAGATACTAAATCCATTATGTTATGTTATGATTACATATGATTACACAAGTTTTACTATAGACAAATAAATCGAATATTACACATAAACTAATTGCCTTTCCTTTGAACTTAGTGGATATCCTAGACTTTTAGGAAAGTACTGACTATCAATTCATGATAAAATTTAATGTTGCCTAATAAGCTTAGCTAAATAGATGGCGGCTATACTGCAGATGTTTGTGACATACTTCAAGCATAATTCACTCATGATTTGGATCATTTTTGAAATAATTATAATCTTTGAAATTTGCTGTCAACTAATGTTATACCATCTAGACAACAAAATAAACAAGATATATCAAGTAAATCAGTAAACTTGTGGTATTCACTGTAAGCAATTACAGATGCAAGAAAATGATCGGGTTAAGCAACAAAGTAATTATACAAGGAGTAGATTTTAATTTCATTGTAAGCAGTACTTAATTACTTACTTATACCTGTTACCCCTCGTAAAGAAGCAAAGGCCGCTCACCGGTATTCTCCATCCAAACCTGTTCTGAGCAATCCTTTTCAGTTATTTCCAGTCACTGTTGTTCTTTTTCATGTAAGCTTCCAATTCTCGATGAAACGTGTTTCTTGGTCCTCCTTTTTTCTTCTCCCTTCACTATTCCATGTTAAGGCTTGCCTCATGACGCAGTTTGATGATTTACGATATATGTATATATTTACTTCCAACATCTTTTACTAATTCCCTCTTCAGATGGAAGTTAGTTTGTTCTCCGCCACAGTAGATTGTTGCTGATGGTATACTCCTGTAGCTTTTCCAGGGTTACAGCCGGTCCCAAGCCTAAGTAAAGAAGGAGGGTTAGGGGTGGGGTCAGCAATTCTATCCCCTAGAAAATCACCTTGCTAAAAAACACCAAGCAGAATAAACAATTTAAACTATTGTAAACTTTAGGTACCTCTTTTTATATGCAAGCATCAGAATATTAGTACGAATAAAATGAGTTTATCCGCTTTGCTTTCTGATGGAACTAAACTTCTATACACTTGTTTAACAACACGGATTACTTGTTTAATATGTATTCCCAGAGTTGAAATTTCAATACTCAGTTGGACAATGGCTTATTTATTCTGCTGGAATTCACTAACAGGCATTAGGACGTGATCATGAATGTTCAGTTATTGAATGGAATTTTGCATCGTCTCTTATAAAACTTTCAAACGTCATATAAATTACGTATCATTAAAATATTTGCACATTTTTGTCATTTTTCATGTGAAATTGTGTTGTTTTTGGTCTATGACAAAACTACGATTGACGAATCATAGGGAAAATAAGTTAGGGATTAATGTGTAAATTTTGTATTGCCTGACAAATGAGGTCTAATAAGTGAGTGGGTTTGACTAGGAAATTTCCTAATCCATGCTTATATATTACTTACTTAATCACTCCTGTTACTCCTAACGGACCATGTGCCGCCGACCAGCATTCGCCAACCCACTCTGTCATGGGCCTTCTTTTCTAGTTCCACCCAATTTCTGTTCATTTTCCTCATGTCTATCTCCATTTCCAGGCGTAATTGTTCTTCCTCTCCTTTGGCCTTCAGGATTCCTTGTGGGGGCTTGTCTTGTGTCCTATCCATTTCCAGTGCTTCTTCTTAATTTCTTCCTCCACTGGAATCTGGTCTGTTCTCTCCCACAGTAGGTTGTTGCTAATAGTGTCCGGCCAACGGATCCGAAGTATTTTGCTTAGACAACTGTTAATAAATGCCTGTATCTTCTGGATGATGGCTTTCGTAGTTCTCCAGATTTCCGCCCGATACAGTAGAACTGTCTTGACATTTGTATTGAAAATCCTGATCTTGGTGTTGGTTGACAGTTGTTTTGAGTTCCACATGTCCTTCAGTTGTAAATATACTGCTCTTGCTTTTCCGATCTGCGCTTTCACATCTGCATCAGATCCACCCTGTTCATCAATGATGCTGCCTAAATATGTAAAGTTTTTTACATCTTCTAAATCTTCTCCGTCAAGTGTGATTGGATTGGTGCATGCTGTGTTGTATCGGAGAATCATGCTTTTCCCTTTGTGTATATTGAGACTTACTGGTGCTGGGGCTCCTGTTACACTGGTCGTCTTCTCCTGGATTTGTTGTTGCGTGTGTGATAGAAGAGCCTGATCATCTGTGAAGTCTAGATCGTGCAACTGCATCCTAGATGTTCACTGTATCCCGTGCTTCCCTTCAGATGTTGACGTCCTCATGATCCAGCCAATCACCAGGAGAAAGAGTAAGCAACCTTTCCTAACACCGGTCTTTACTTCGAGGGAGCTTGTCAGCTGTCCTCCATGCACAACTTTGCAGTTTAATCCATCATAGGAATTCCGTATGATATTGACTATCTTTTGAGGCATGCCGTAGTGTCGAAGAAGCTTCCATTGTGTTGTTCTGTCCACGCTGTCAAATGCTTTCTCATAGTCAATGAAGTAGTTCATGTAGAGTGATGAACTTCATTCAATTGATTGTTCCGCAATGATCCGTAGAGTTGCGATTTGGTCTGTACACGATCTATCCTTACGGAATCCTGCCTGTCGGTCAAGAAGTTGGACGTCTACGCAGTCCTTCGTCCTGTTTAACAATATCCTGTTGAAGACTTTTCCCGGTATTGAGAGAAGAGTGATGTCGCTGTAGTTATCACACTTGCTGAGATCACCTTTCTTTGGTATTTTGATCAGGAGTCCTTCTTTCCTGTCTGTTGGTACTTGTTCCTCATCCCGAATCTTATTGGAGAGAATGTGGAGTATCCTTGCAGTTGCAGCTACGTCTGCTTTTAGTGCCTCTGCTGGAATGTTGCCTAGTCCTGCTGCTTTGCCACTCTCGGTTTGTCTGACAGCCATGATGATTTGTTCAATTGTTGGTGGGCCAACATTGGTTGGGATGTCCATGGGTGCTGTTTCGATATTGGGTGTGTTCAGTGGAGCTGGTCGATTCAAGAGTTCTTTGAAGCGTTCTACCCACCTGTTTCGTTGTTCTTCAATGTTGGTGATTACCTCGCCTTCCTTGCATTTCACTGGTCTTTCTGGTTTACGGTTATTTCCAGTCAGTTTCTTTGTTATGTCATACAGTTCTCTCATGTTTCCTTCTCTTGCAGCCTTTTCCTCCGTCATTGCTAAATCTTCCACATATTTACTTTTGTCGGCTCTGATACTCCTCCTCACTAGCTTGTTTACTTCTGTGTATTCAGCTTGTGCCTTGGATTTTTATGCTCTTGTTCGGCTGGTATTGATTGCTGCTTTCTTGTTCCTCCTTTCTTGAATCTTATCCAGTGTATCAATAGTGATCCATTCTTTGTGATGGTGCTTCTTGTGGCCCAAAACCTCATGACACGTTGAAGTGATTGCTCTTTGATCCCCTTCCTGTTGCTCTCCATAGTAGTTCCATCTCTATTGAGTAGATCATGAAAAGCCTGGAACTTATTGCTGAGGGGTATCTTGAATTTGTTGAGTTTGTCAGTATCCCAAACAAGAGCTGTATTGAACTTTTGTGATATTGTCCGCCCCATTGTCCAGTGCTTCTTGAGTTTCAATTTCATCTTGGCGACCAGCAAGTGATGATCTGATGCTATATCAGCTCCTTTCATGGTTCTCACGTCCTCCATGACCAGTTTATTGAAGGCGCATAGGTTTGCAAATCTCTAACCATTTTCGTTCCTCTCTCCCAGTCCGTGTCGTCCCATGATGTCTTCATATCCGGTGTTGTCCATTCCAATCTTGGCATTTAAATCTCCCATCAGAATGGTCAGGTCCTTTGTTGGTCACTTCTCGACGATTGACTGCAGACAATTGTAGAATTGATCTTTAGCGTCTTCATTATAGTCGCATATGCTTATATATAAAGTAATTAAATTCTATTGAAAGTGAAGTAATCCCATCGCTTTTTATTAGTCTATGGTGAAACAAACGAAGAAGTGGTTGTATCTTCAGTAAAAGTATACTCTACACTGTAGCGTTGAGACTTTGGTTAGTTTACGTCTAGCCTGTAAGCACCTTGTGTGACGAACAGTGTGTGAAAGAATCTGAGAAAGAAACGAACAAGAGAAAATGTTAGTCGACAACTCAGTAAGCATATGGAATAATGTAAGCGATCAACGACAATCAGAACTCACACGAGCATGAGATTATGACGTGATAATCGAAAATATAAGCTGATATCGTCAGGTTTCGAATAAATTACATGAGGTGAGCTTAAAACACCTGAAGTGGAATTACAGTTAGTTCTCAGTAAATCAGTAAACAGCTTGTACAAACGGATAGTATTTGGAAAAAAAACAGTAACGTATCAAAATATATATAGATTTTACATAATAATTCTGTTTATTTCTCCTACAGGTTACTATACACATAAATCGAAAGATCATCAGCACATTCATCTTGATGGATATAATGTTCATACTCTTGAACCCTCAAATGGAGTTCAAGAGATTCTTAAGAGTTCCTGTATCGTTCCTAGTTAGGATCAGACATTAAGCGTAAAGATTAGGGGTTGAGGGTTGAAGTTGTGATTAAGCACTGACACTAGCTATAATGTAAAACTGTTATGTACCCAAATGG